CCAGATATGCTTGACATGGGTAGGTCGGGCACCCCAGATATGCCTGACAGGGTAGGTTGAGCACCCAGATATGCTTGACATGGGTAGGTCGGGCACCCCAGATATGCCTAACAGGGTAGGTCGAGCACCCAGATATGCTTGACATGGGTAGGTCCAGCACCCCAGATATGTCTGACAGGGTAGGCCAGGCAACCAGATATGCCTAACAGTATGTGTTTATGTGATATGATAGGGAACTCACTAAGTTTCGTGCTTACTGTTTTTAGTTTTGGTTTCAGGTTCTTCTTCTTCGAAGGGAAAGGAGCCGACATAATAGCAGCGCATCACACACGATTTTCCGCACATGAGATCTATGGGAGATGTACTCTGACATTATTTTTATATGACATGTTTTGAGATATTTGATACATGGGTTTTGAGTATGATATGAGATGACATTATCGATGTTTTCAGATTACCGTTTTATAATTACTTAATTAAAAATGAAATTTTTGGTCATGAATTTTGGGATGTTACACAATAAATATATGGTGTTAGAGTAAAGTTAATCATCTGGTTAATTGGCAAACTAATTCCAACTTTGGTCTTCGACCTCCGCTGCCCTTCAGTTTGCCACATACCAACAACTTATCAACAATTTAACAAGTTCCTCAAAACTTGTAATTACTTACTACGAACTAAACTCTATGACATTTTTGTCACCAAACTAATTAAACTACATAATATAATGGCTATTGGCTTAACTCGTAAGCCATTAACTAAATGTTACACATATGGTAACTCCTATAAATTAGGGTTTATAACCCTCATTGTCCAGAATATGTATTTAACCGTAAGATTTATTTATTAATATTACCACAGGGTTTTCAATAGCACCATAGCACAAATTCTTGTAACACATATGGGGTCTAACAATCCATTACAAATATTACGTAAACATAATCACGTGATAACGAGATAAAAACACATGACAAAATTGCAAAAATTGTCCCTGTGGTTGGCAAAAATTTGTGACATTGATCCAAAAACGTTTCTTGGTGCATCAGTGGTCCAATTTTGGATACCTATGTGCTTTTCGTCCTTATGGTTAGCATTTTTGTGGTTTTGGTCCATAACCTATCTGAAATGACGGATATGACCTTAAATAATTTTTTTTTAATTTCTTTTAATTATTTTAGTTATTTTCTATTATTTTAATTTAAAAAAAAGAGATTCCACCCACCACACATGATCCCATCCCCCTCTTTATTTTCTCGACTAATGAACAGTAAATCTGGACAACCATCTAGTGCAGTCGGAAACCTCCGGACAGCCAACGACCATCGATTTTCAACTTTAAAGCCAGTTCAATTGCTGACCTTCGGCCTCCCATCCCCCTCTTTATTTTCTCTTTACTCCGCCTTTCTCTCTCTTACATCCACTACTGTCGGCCTCCTGAACCTCCAACCACTACCGTTATTGCTTCAGATGGTGGTTGTCGGACACCGTCATCGTCTACCATATTTGAATGAAGATGAATATGGAGATTTCACGATTAACCTGTTTAAATCCATATTTGAATCTCACTGACTTTGGTAGAGAAATTTGAAGGTGAAGTTTTCTTTTTTTATTCGAAACCCACATTCGGCCTCCCATTAACTTGTCTGACACCACATCATCAAAGCGTCAAAATCATGGCTAAAGATCAAGAAGATCGCATCATGGCTGGAGATACGAATGTGATATGAATTTCGTTTGAACGTTGTCGGATGGGCTTGACTGCCATGGATGAAAGAGATTCAAAAGTCGCTAGGAAACAACATAAAGATCTAAACGCCGCCGGAGCTGGGGTTTTCAGAAACAAAGCTAGGCTTCAACAATCGTTAGAAACAAAACTAGGGTTTTCAGTTGGCGGTGATTTCCGACGAGTATAGCGGCATTGAGTCGTTGTTATTGGTGGTTTTCGATGCGGTAATGAAAAGATAGATAAATGGAGTTGGTGTGGTTACCGACGAGTATAGCAGCGCCGCCGGTGGTTTCCGATTAGACAAGGGAGAGAAAGTACGGTGGGAGATGAAATATTTTTCGGTGACACAATGGAGAGAGACGACAGAGAAAATGATTTCTTAAGAGAGATGAAAGGGTGGATATCGTGGGCTTTTTTATTTTTAATTATATAACAATTAAAATATAAATTAGAATAAATATTAAAAATGATAAAAAAAAAAGTTAAAAAGGGATATAATATAATAAAAAATAGACAAAATTGCAAAAATGGTCTTTGTGGTATACATTTTTCTGGAGTTTTAGTCCAAACCACGATTTTTTTGGATTGGTGGTCCTTTTGAGCTAGTTTCGTTGCGTTTTTGGTCCCCCTGAATAGTGAAATGACTGTAATACCCTTGGGGTATTTATTTTCATTTTTCTTATATTTATTTTTAAATCTAATACTAATTTATTTATTTTAATAATTAAAAAATAAAAAGGGTATCTCTTTCTCTCTCTCTCCCTCTCTCTCGAATCATCACCTTCGTCTCACCCTCCCCCACAATTCACCTCACTAACAAATAATGCTGCAATGGTGTCTTCTCCCCCAAAACCCACTCTGATTCTCGATGTCAACAAAAATTCTGCCATTCTTCAATGATGAAATCAAATCTGCGAAAAATCTGATTAAACCTCTCCATTTTTGTCGTCATCTCAAACCCTTCTCAGATATGTTCATATGAAGCCCTAGGTGAAGAAATCAACTCTGTGACACTCACGATCGATGGATTCAGCGAGTCTGAGTGGGAGTGTATATTTTCTCACCACAGTTGACGGCGGTGCAGGTGACCGGAGCATAGTGTACAAGCTGCAAGTTGCCGCCATGTTTGACCTAGAAAAGGTAGTATACAACCACGGGTTTTTCATGACTGTCCCAAACCACTGGGACAGGGAAGGGTGGTGGTGTTCGCTACCTGTTGCAACAGGGGATGACCAGTCGGGATTTACAGTGGCATCCGGAGGTGGTGGCTGCGGTTGGTGATGGCGGAGTAGGTCGTATGGGGTGGTGGGGGCTCCAACAGCCTCTTGCTGCCTGGTTTCTCTCCCGTCCGACAGTACACAACAAGAGTAAAAAGGGAAAGCAGTCGGTGTAGTGGGGTGGCAAGCTGCCTCCGGCGGTTTTGCTACCTCCGTTTTTGGAGTCCAGCTCGGATTGACGAGAAGGAAGGGGAACAACAACAACGATGGATGGTGGTGGAGTGCAACTGTGAGGATCATCAGAATAGACGGTGTCGGGCGGTGGTAGCATGTAACCCCGAATGTCTTGGTGGCCGGAAGAACGGCGGTGTCGGGCGGTGGTAGCATGTAACCCCGAATGTCTTGGTGGCCGGAAAAACGGCTCCACCTCTGGTGGGGAGTTCTAGGTCGTAAAAGAAGAAGGAGGGGGTGGAGTTTATATATATATATATATATATATATATAGAGAGAGAGAAAAAAAAGTTTAAGAGAGAGAGAGAAGTGGGCCCTCTCATTTTTTTAATAATTAAAATGAATAAATAATTATTAAATTAAAAAAATGAATTTAAAAATGAAAAATATATACTTCAATGGTATTACAGTCATTTCACTATTCAAAAAGACCAAAACCAACGAAACTAGCTCAGAATGACCAACAATCCAAAAAAATCCTGGTTTGGACAAAAACACTAAAAAGATCTATAATTGACCATTGTTACACCACTAACAGTTTTTGGATTGAAAACACATAATTTTAACAATCACATAACCATTTTTGCAATTTTGTCAACTAAATATCAACACCAATAACAAATTTTGTGATAAATTATCTACAACAATATTTTGTTGAACAAATTCAATACAGTAAATGATACACAAAAAAAAAAAGATAACTAAACATAAATGGTTGGGACTACAGATTAATTTTGAATACGGTCAAAGGAGAGAGAGAAGGAAGTGGGGACTGTAAAGTTGATAGTGATAGGTTAAATGATGCCCATCTCCATCTTCCCATCATTTCATATCTGTCTGTTACTCTGTTTTGTTCAGTTATTAACCGAGCAATTATATCTCAAGTTGTCTTCTGTACACGTCTAGATAATGTCTTTGTCACAATCTCATCAAAACACAACACATCATCTCCTACCAACTTCTTCATTCTCTCTTTTTATTATTATAGAAACAATGGATGCCTAATTATATTCATTTTAAGATGCGTGTAATTATAAGTTGATATTCAATTTCACCCTTTAAGACCCAGATCTAATATCCATAAGCTAAAGGGATCGAAGGTGGTTGTCAATAAATTGGCGTTATTATCCAAGCCAGGAAGAGTAAAAAGTACACTGGCATCACCATCGTAAACCTAGCATTCGCACATGGAACGTGGCCCTCATCAATTATTTGCCTATTATTAATTCATTTTATATCATTAATATCAGTTAAGTCAGTCAATAAGTTATACTCCATCACCCATAATAAATATATACAATGTAAACTACGGCTAATAATAACGAGATATCTATACATAATTATGTAATTGGTAAAATACTACTCCGTAAAATGATAGCTAAAAGTTGATAGTTGAAGTTTTTAATTGTATACAACCTTTTTATAAAATTGATTTCATTTTACCAATATATGTTGATTTTAAAAAAAAAAAAATTAATTGAATACAACTTTAATAGCAACAAAAGTTTACTACCACATAGCCATACATATCAAGCCATATGTTACCGATTCATTGTTCATGAATATGCAAATACATGCACAAGATATTCGAAAAATCCAACCGAAGATGACAATCATGCATGTGTTAGTCGATCAATATAAAAAAGATTATTGTAACAACTCATAGTAAGTCTAATAAATGATTTAAGGTTTACAAGTACTTGCTAGCAAATCTACCAAAACCAGTCAGATCCAGATCACAGGCGAAGTTAATACCTTGTACCTTGCGCAAATGGCCGGACTTGTAACCTGTAGGCTTCCACTGTCTTCTTCTTCTTCTTCTTCTTCTAGTTGTTCTGAGTCATGGAGTTCTTACAATGCGCTATCGCCCCTTGAATCGCGCTCTGCAATTCCTCCATGGATGACGAATTGTTCGAGTAGATGCCGCCGCCGGTTCCTCTCATCACACTATTCCGACATAAAACTCCAGAGTGACTAGGAGATGACCGCATGGATGACGGGCAGCTCGATACGCAGCTTCTCCTTCTAGGATACCGGAGATTTCCTGAAAACGAGTGAGAGATTACGTCGTTTTCCTTGTTGCTTCTGATCTCCTCCGTTTTAGGAGGAGGTGGAGGAGGACCCGTTTTCTTAACCTGAAAAGTCTGACCCTGTCTTTGCGATAGCTTTTCGTACAACGGTTTTGCTTTCTTCAGATACTTTCGTATCATTTCTTTAGCTGTCACGCTCATGCGTTTAACGGAAGATCCGGTTAAGATATCTTGGTCAAGACGGGCGGCGGTAGTAGTACCAGTGGTTGCCGGAGCTTTGGTTTCCTTGCGGAAGACAGATGAGAATCTAGATAAGGAGAAGTACTTATTGGGTTTCTTGTGGTGGTGGGAGATGAAAGGCTGGGTTTGTAAGGTAGAAGGGAATAGTTTGGTTTGGAGGTGAAGGTCGTCGTCAGTGACGGAGCTGGGGCGGGAGGAGTCGCATCCGTCGGTGGAGAAGGAGGAGTGGGAGTCAGAGGAGTGGCGGGCGGTGGTGGCGGATGAAGATGTGGAGGAGGAAGAGAGAAGCAAGGTGCGTACCATGGAAATGCGAGGGGAGAGGTGAAGAGGGAGAAGTTGGCCCTTGTAAAAGAGGTCGTCGGCGGGGCAAAGATTGGTGGCGGAGGATTTGCGAGGGGAGAGAGAGATGGTGAATTCGAAATCGGAGGAGGAGGATGAATGAGTGGGGGAGGATGGGAGGGTTTGTGATCTGGGGGTTTTCCCAGCTTTACGAAGATGACGATTATGATGAAGATGATGATGATCCGCCATTTGTAAAATGGAGATAAGCTTGTTACATTGTTAGATCTATGTCAATGGCTGGTACTTTATGGAAGAAGAGAGAGAGAGAGAAAGAGAACAGTGTTGACAGGGTTATGATTTAATGTGATTAGATTGGATGGAGGGGTTCAAGTATAAGACATTGGAAAGGGAGTAGGGTGATGCCATGTTTGGCTCTATCTTCGTCAACTAATCTAAGTTTTCTAGGGTTTTGGACTTATTCTTAAAACTTTTTTGTTGATTTTTAGCAAAAATATCCATACAAAAAGTTTAAAAGGCAGTAGTACTTCATGAATATGATTGTAAAATTTAACCTATTTTTAGAATACAGTATCATATTATATTATAGTTTATATAATTATATAAATAAATTTCTTGTATTAATATAAAATTCAACATACATAAACTTTTAACACTTTTTTTATTTTTATTCATTCGTTTTTGGAAAAATTGTTTTATATTAAAGCTTGTCAACATTAGCAAGAAAAAGAGCCAAGGGTCACGAGATAATTATATATATTCGGCCTTAGCGTTTTTGCTTTAAAAGAAACGAAGTATTGAAAAAACTAGGAAGAAGTTATAGAACAGTTGCTACTGTTGGGATTCATCAATGCCGTTGAGGTTTGTTAATAGAACATTGTCTTTCACGGTTCACGGAGAATCAATAAATTTTTACTGTTTTATATTTTTATTGTGTTTTTTTTTTTATAATTATTAAATGAACCAACTAATCAACACGGATAGTTTAGTTTTGGACCTGTGGTGAGAATGATGGGCTTAGCTGATAGGCTTTTATATAAAAGGTCAATGATCTTGAAAGGTAACGAACTTTGGTTTTTATCCATATTTAGGTAACCATGTGTTTTTTTCGAACACATTTGATCATTGAATTTGTTTGATATGTTTAAAATAGGGTAATATGACTGATAATTAGTGGTAATATTACCCTATTATGAACATGTCAAACAAGTTTAATGGTCATATGTATACGAAAAAAAACATGGTTATCTAAATATGGACAAAAACCAAAGTTTCTTACCATTTTTGAAAATATTCGGTTCTTTATGCTAAGTACAATATGTGACATGGAATCGGGCTACCAGGTCTTTATGTATGAGAAGATGGTCAGGTCTAACCTAAATATGGACAAAAACCAAATTCCTTACACCCCCTCCTCCTCCTCCATGAGGAGGATCTCTCATTCTCAAACATAAGCCTCCGGTTTATACATACACTCTTCCCACTCCGTCTAGGATAAACTATCTCCTCATACACATCGATCTAACTTGATTGTTGGAGCTTGATCCCAAGACATAGTCCCTTAGGCGGTTCTAACACTTTTGTTGTATGATCTCACCTAGGAATCAAGTCAAGAACCCGCTAACGACACCTACTTTAGATATGACATAAAGATCTGATAGGACGATTTCATGTCACATTAGTCGGTATTATGATTACTTACACGTAGCATAAAGAACTCAATATTTCCAAAACGGGTAAAGAAACTTTGGTTTTTGTCCATATTTAGGTAACCATGTGTTTTTTCATACATATTTTACCAGTAAAATTATTTGACATGTTCATAATAGGATAATATTACCGCTAATTATCAGTCATATTACCCTATTTTGAATAGGTCAAACAAGTTCAATGGTCAAATGTATACGAAAAAAACATGGTTACCTAAATATGAACAAAGACCCAAAGTTCATTACATTTCTAGGTCATTAACCCTTATATAAACTAGTTAAAAAGTAATATAAACTAGTAAAAAATTTATGTGTTGATGCAGGTTTGTATGTGGTTGCTTAATTAGACATACTTTATATAATTTAAACTTTTGAGGGTTACAAAAATAGTAGGTGTAGTACCAACAGGTGACAAAAAGTTCCCAAAACAACATTCTAAAAGATCTACATGATTTTGTGTATTCTTTTCCAAAATTGATAATACTAGTTATTTGCTTTGTTTGGCAAATATGCAACCTACAAAAAAAGGGAAACACATAATGTGAACTACAAATTTATTATAACTTTATATACCCGTTCATACAAATTAGCAAAGTAAACATTACATCTATGATTTATGATCTCTAAATATAACCGACTTTTTGCAAATTTGGTTCCAAAAAATTTGTCTTGTGCTTTCCACTCGTATTTTGATGTTTTATAATGATTTTGTTGTTCAATTTAAAATGATTATATTACCCTTCATATGATTTTCTATAAATATTTGTTATTTATTTGAAACTTGTCATCTTATTGTATTCACTCGGCCCCACCATTCCCACCTTCCCTTTCTGGTTCTAACACCCCACTCACCCTAATTAAAACTTGTAAAAGATAATCTAAGAGTATATATTACTTGTGACAAAATAGTCACCAACGGGTTTCTGATGGTGGTCTTGCTTTTTTCTTGATTTGATATCCAATCAATTCACAATGATAATCCCTATAAAAAATCAATTCACTTTCGGATAAAAAATCTTTTCAAAGAAAAATGTATCTGATTTGGCTTATAAAAATGGGTTACATGCAAAAAAAAATAGCAACATACTTCCATTTACTTATTTATTATACCTATATGAAAACAATCTTGTTGGCGATGGAAACCCCATGCTCGTTGGCGATGGAAACTCGCAACGGGCACTCCAACTCTCCAAGAGGCATGTCAAAACTACTACTGAAGGACTGAGACACAAAGGACCGACTCGCACCCGAGTCAAAAAAACACAAGAGCAGGCAAGGAATTCACTAAAAAAATACCTAGCAGAATCATAAACATAAGCATACCATAAAATAATTTAACAGAATAATAAATGGAAACATACCAGTAACGATGTCCGGCACTGCCCTGGCCTCCTCTGCTATGAGTTGGAACGCACGACCTTGAGCCCTCGGGGGCTCCGACCTGCCTTGGCGTCCATCTGTGATCCTCAAAGTAGTCGGTGCTGGAGCATGTACCGGTATCACTGCGAGCAAGGGGCAGTTGCCCTTCACATGGCCAACCTAATCACAGTGATAGCAAATCTTGGTGCTCGGTACTGGGGCTTGCTGACGATAATCCCTAGCAATATGGCCTTCTCTGCCACATTTGTGGCACCCCGAAGAAAAACGACAAACACCTTCATGAAGCTTACAACACTTGCCACAAGTGCGACCCCTCTGAACTTCTGATTGTGAATCAGCGGGCTTGAACCACTTTGATGCAGGCTGGGACTGAACCGGAGCATGACGTTGCTCCCTCTTCTGGGTATCTATCTCAATCTCTCGCTTCTTCGCGATATCTTGAAGCTCGACGAGGGTATTGTATCGTTGGGTAAACAAAAACTCCTGAAGCTGGGTCTTGAGCGTGCTCAGGTATCGTGACATCTGAGCCTGCTCCGATGAAGCATACTCAGGACAGAAAAGATCCTTCCAGTAAAAATCTTGGTGATCTTCGTCACCGTCTCTATCGTCTGTCAAAGAGTGATAGTCCTAAGACAAACTCTCTCTCTCTCTCCACCAAGGGAACATACATAGTGTGAAACATCTCAGAGAACTGCTCCTATGTCACTACAGCCTTCTCCGCAGGAGAATAAGTACCCGTTGCTAACCTTCACCTGTAACATTCATAAAATTATGGAAAATTTTAAACTTTTTAAACAACCCGAAAATCATCATTGTTTTCAAAATAAGTATCACATCAGATAAATCCCAAAATCATGAAATAAAATATGAGGAGGTGCACGATCACGCCTTCGCCTTCTTGCGATCCTCTGAAGTACCTGAAACATAATCCAAAACTGTAAGCCCAAAGCTTTAGTGAGTTCCCCCAAAATACCAATACATAACAAATAGCACAGTTATAAAAACAGCATACTTTGGCCCAATCAACCATCGGGTTGGAATACCCCAGGCCCCTCAACCATCAGGTTGGAATGCCAATATACTATGGGTACAGTCATCCTCGTAATGGAATACCCCAGGCCCTCAACCATCGGGTTGGAATGCCAACATACTATGGGTCCAATTATCCTCGGGATGGAATACCCAAGGCCCTCAACCATCGGGTTGGAATGCCTCAGCATGTTGTCTTACGCACAAAGCAGTGAAGCCTCAACCACCAACAATCATGTGCACATATAACAGGTAATCATACAACAAACTACATCCAGTCACACAGATCTACAGATCACTAAGCATGGCAACATCCTATCTACTAGGATACCGGTCTAACAGATCATATCAATACAATAGCATGCATAACAGGATACCAATCCAATGGGCCGACATTGGTACCTTTGACCCGCAAGTACAGTGAGGACAACTCACCTCACAAGTAGTGTAGAACTGACAAGGTCTGACTCCGAATCTCAACTCCCGACTCAAATGCCTACAACCACCATGTGACCAATTCCATTAAAACCCCGAAATATCCAAAATTCCCTCAAAGGTCAGTTTGGTCAACCATGGTCAAAGTCAAAGTCAACGGTCAAGGTCAACAGTCCATGTCGACCCAACTCGTCGAGTAGGGATGTCAAAAAGTCTCGTGGGGGCCCCGTCCCGTTTAGGGATATTTATTTAAAAAAATCGGGGACGGGGAAGGGGGCAAGGTTAACCCCCGTTTTAATTTCGGAGGCAGGGGCGGGGGTGGGCAGTCCCGTCCCGAAACCCCCATAGGGCCCCCGTTAATAAATTATACTTATATTTACATATATTAATTATATAAATATAATAAACAATAATATGATTTCGAGCTTTCAAAGTTCAAAAAAATATATGTTTTTAAATTGTTATTATAATGTTTTTAAGATGCCATAATTTTTTGTTTTTTACATGTAAAATTATGCTATAAATAATTATTTGATACCAAAAAAATAGCTTCTTTTATCCCAAATAACAACTTCTTTTAGCCTAAAAAAAGGCAGCCCAAAATCAATCGGGGGCGGGGGATCGGGGGCGGGGGTAATAAGGGGGAATCGGGGGTGGGGGCGGGGGTAGGAAGGTTGG